CTTGTATTGGCTGTCATTTCATTCACTATTAATGTAATACTAATCGCTTTAATCGTTTACTTCAAGAGAAAAGTGTGAGTATTATGTCATTTATTATATTCAAATAAATTGATTTTATAATAACTAATAAAATGTTAATTTGTTTGCATTTGCAGTCCATTGATGTCCAATGTTTTGGCAAAATTCAGAAGAGGTAGAGAAGAGGTATACCTTCGAGAGACTGAAATAAATGGCGATTTATGAGTGGATTCTCACCATTTTATTCATAATTATATCTATATTTTTGCTACATTAAGCATATGATAATTCAAAATATATTGTATATTAAGGGACTAAATAACACTATTGTATAACATTAATAATATATTAAATAACATTTAATTCGAGAATATTTTGATGTTTTATTTCCCAGTTTTGCTATTTTGTGACAACTTTTCAAACTTCTCGCGAATACTTCCGGTCGCGACATTGGATTCAGTATCACGTGATTTATTTCGAGGCACAACTTTAGGGACAGCACCTGTCGTTAAATTTACAATTTAAATTATATTACACATTCAAGTTCATTTAGTATTTGCCAATTACTAACAATCTGTAATTAGCTTGTTTATGATCCGCAATGACGTTGGTATTATTATTATTATGTATATTAACAGGATATAATTTATTAGTCATTTTAATTTGTAATTCATATGAAATAATTTAATAAGTGTTAAATGTTTTAAATAATAAATAATAATATACGACAAATAAATTGGTATTAATATTAATATGGTTATTTTAAAAATATTTAAAAACCACTTATAGTTTATCACCAGAAACTTATTTTTATTTTCATAATATTTATTTCATTCATTTAATTCTTGCTTGATAATATTTAACAAATTAACATTACTTTTTGTTTTGATTTATATTTATTAAAAGTCCTCTTAATTCAAAATTAATTCAGATTTAAAATGTTAATTATAATAAAATTAATTTATTAATAAATCAATGCATAATAGAAATAATTATAGGAATAGTTTATAATTTTATCTAATATTTGTATTAAGATAAATGTACTAGGTTAAAACCGAATTAAATAGCTGTTTATAATTCGCTTCTCGTTATATCCATACTGTCCCCCATGTCCTCCCTGTCCAACCAGTTAATCCACGTATTATTGTGAAGCTTAGGATCACTGCGCGGATCAAGTGAACGGAATAATGAGTCTGTGAGCGGCGGTACAGACGTCTCGTTAAAAGCAACCAATTTCTGCCACAAGAACTCCACGAACTGGGGATCCGTTTCCCCAATCAGGTTATGGTATTCGCACGGGTCGTCCCGTATGTTAAACAAACATAACTCAGTTGTGCAGTCATTGTTGACCGGGTCGGTAGGTTCATGTGGTTCGCACTCTACCACCGACTCCTTCAGCACCTCATAATCGGGTCGTCTATTCATTTGTGACAACACTTGATATGACTTACTATTCACGCGATCCATAGACTGCAGCGTTTGTAACGATTTTCGGTTTAAAGCTATGTTTGGATAGCCCAGGGGTCGCACCCATAGGCCCGACCTTTTTTTTAAGTATTTATCCTGAATAAGTTTCCAGACGTATCACCGAATGGCCGACGTATTAGTCAAGTAATTGATATTATGTATGATTTCCGTTCGCACCGGGAGTTCATTATTTGATAGTGTATTCCATTGAGATGTACCTTAAAAATATTTAAGCATTTTACTAAGTTATGAATAATAATTGCTCATGTTAATTGAAACTGTTTCTCATTTTCACAAGCACATTTCAAACTGACTACCTATTTCAAATATTATATAATTTAATATGAATTAATAAATCAGTAAGGACATTTTAATGTTATTTCTTATGTCCCCTGTACCAACTTAACATGTCACATGCTTAATTAATTACTAAGTTATATACACAGTAATTATGCCAGATGTATTAACTTACCGTAAGTAAATTGCTCATTCAATATGTCGGTGCTGTTATCGACAGCATCTAAAATGGTGGGCAATATATCCGTCACGTGTATCATAGCATCCGATACGTAACCACTTTTGTTCAACAATGGACTCCATATGAATGCCGGAACTCGTATACCTAACACACAGTGAAAATATATGACACAAAGTGTATAATTATTGTCAATACTAGTTGTAATTTTGAAATATCTAAAATTGTCATGACACCAGTAATACAACATACCTCCCTCAAAATATTGCAGTTTCATTCCCCTTAGCGGCCAATTAGATCCACCGTTTGCTATCAAATAAACATCCATGTAATATAAGTCCCGGTAGGTTAACAATTAAATTACCGGATACGGTGCCAGTGGCACCACCATTATCGCTCATAAATATAATAATACTGTTTTCCAACATTTGTCTCGAGTGTAGGCGCTCGAC